TTCCGCGAACACTGATCTTTGAACGTTCGTCGCGTAGCAGCAGTTTACAACGGTCCTTGGGCGGGATATCATATCGCAGCAACTAATGACTTTAGTGAAATTCCACACTAGGTATATCATCGTCAAGAGCGATAAAAATTCAGATCAACAAAATTCTGCGATTGCATCCTGACAAATGTGACCAGTTTGAATCCGACACACAAAACTACTAATTAGTACTTGCCTTAGCAGCAATCGACCAAGAGTCGAGACCAGACCAAAATAACTGTATCATCAGTGGATATAAGAGACTATAAAGAAAATGAAACAATTGAACAGCGGCTGAAAAGAAAGTTCTTAAGAAGGCGATTACAAATCTCTCCGTCTCTGTGAATCTTCTTTATAATGATTATAGAAGCAAGTGGACGTCAGATGCCTAGAGGCCACCGTCAGTAGTGACGTAACCAATCCGGCAAAATTTTTTCGGTTTAGGACAAAATTTTAAACATTTATTCGCGCTCAAGTAAACTTTACTCTTTTCCAACGACACGTAAAACACACAGTAATAAAAAGTATGAGCGGTTTTTCTTATACAGACGTATTTGGTGCAGTGAAAAACCTCCCATTTGAAGATAGTGCAGGTAGTTGTTACAATATCGAAAAAGATATTAAATCTTTGTTTGTCATCTAGCGAACTTCACTCTAATAAACATTCACTGTGTAGTAAGAATCCCGTAAAACGTTCCATTTCCTCTGTTGCATACAACAGCTCTTCAAAACTTGTGCACATAAGCTACTTTAATATCCATTCGCCACCATTCATTTGCTGCATACCGAAATGATTGATTTTCAAGCAAACTCAAAAACGCCTACAGCAAATCCTCAAGCTCTGTCAAAAAAACGATACTGGTGCAACATCTGTTTGTAACCAAACAATGTCAAGGAAAATCTGTTAATCTCCTTTGTTAATTATACGTCTTAACTGCTTTTAAGTTTTGGCGCCTATCACTATGCACCAGTGATTATTAGAATATCCCAACCAATATAAACAACAAGTTCAGTAGGAACTAGAAGCAGTAAGTTAGTTGTAATGATTCCTCCAAATATCGCAAAAGTGTCTCTAATTTGATACAGTTATACCGTAAATAGCAACTTTTCGCTTACTGGTTTACAGATTCAACCAACTCAAG